AATTATTATACTTTATTTCTTCATCATCACGCGGAACAGTAGCTGTTCTGGTGTAATTAACCATCCAAAGTAATGAATTCTAAATTGCATTTTCAATTACTTATAACTAAAATGATCTTGAACTGAAAAAACACATTTTGCTCCCATAGACAGCTTCGCTGCTTTATCACTGTTGTTGTACTAGAGCTTTAGATTAGGGTAACTTAGTTTTTAAATTAAATGTCAAATATAATTTGCCAGTGGAAACATGAAGTGTAGCTGGCTATATTCTGAGGCGGGAAAAGCCAGCTCAGCATCTCTGACTATTGATATATACATAAAATCAGCTTTCCACCCTATTAGATCATATTTGGCAGAATATGAAATGTGGTTTTACATATACATGCATGCATACTCTGCTTATAAATGTAGAAAATAAACTGTACCTAAGGCTAAGACTTTGTCACAGCTGTCAGAGGAGTAATGGATTCTATAATTTTTATTTTTATTAAATATGAATGAGTTTTGACATTTTTGTGATTTTTGCTATGATATTTGACACTCTGGAAAATCTGTATGCAGGGATATGTATCTTACTGGACTATAGCCCAATAAGTTTCTTTACAGTCTTGGTAAGGACTACAATTAATAAAGAAAGGTCATAGAAGGTTAGGTAATTTGGTTGCTGGAGATACTGCTTTGGACTCCAAGTTTCATTCAACTGTGAATGAGCTTTAATTCAAATAATAATAATATGAGCCCACCTATGTTGCAATATCTGAATTTGCATATGCTTGAAAAAAAAATAATTGATGTTCCCAGCAACCAATAATCCTGATTGCTCAATTCCCATGACTAGGAATTTGTGGAGAGTAAGGAGTACAAAAACACAATGAGTTTAATCTCTGATCTGACACAAGGTGCTGCTAACCCCCCCCCCCCCATATGCCACATGTAAATGTATCCTGAATAGGAGGTGCAAGTTATCAAAGTTGTGCACAAAGAAGAAAAAGGGGCACTCCTTGCCCTACAGTATGTGCATGCTTCAGATACCTGTTTTGATGAGTAGAATGAAAGCACCTGAATTTTCTACTGTGGTGGAAGTGCCTCTCCAGTTTCCAACCCACAACCTCCTATTTCATAATCCATGTGAAATCATTGAAACTTGTACTGTATAAGATAAAACACTCATTTGATTACTGGGATCTTTTAAAGTTTTGATTCAGGCCTAGTCATGGCACCATATCAGCCTTGCTCACCCTTACTGATGACATTTATTGGGAGAGAGATGGAGGGAGTGCAAGGATACTTGTTCTCTTTGATCTCTTGGTGGCTTTAGATACTGTTGCTCATCATATTCTTCTGGAGCATCTCAAGGAGGTGGACTTTAGTGATTCTGCTCCTGCCTGCAGGACCATTTCTAGAACGTAGTCATGGGAAGCAAAAGTTCAGCACCATGTGAGTTGTCCTGTGGGGTCCCACAGAATTCCACCTTGTCCCCCACTCTATTTTACATCTTTATGAAGCTCCTGGGAGCTGTCATCAGCAGATTTGAAGTTAAGTGTCATCAATATGGTAGACCAGTGCTTGGAGGCAGTGATGGGCTGTTTTGGGCCAATAAACTGAAGCTTAATCCTGAAAAGACAGAGGTGTTATGTGTTCTGAGTTCTCAAGTCTGGGAGGTTGGGAGGCAGCCTACACTGGATAGGATTGCACTCCCCCGGAAGAAGCAGGCTCACAGTTTGGTAGTACTCCTGCATTCAACACTGTCACTAGAGGCCCAGGTGGTCTTGGTGGTTAGGAGTGCCTTTTCTAGCTCTGGCTGCTTCACCAACTACAGCCCCTTTTGAACAGAGAATACTTGGCCACTGTACTCCATACTCTGGTAATTTACAGATTGCTTTATTGCAGTGTGGGGCTGCCCTTGAAGACGACTCAGAAACTTGGGTTACTCCAGATTTCTGGCTAGGGTTCCATTTAGATCTCATATAACCCTTGTTTAAAATAGCTGCACTGGTTGCTGTTTCATTTCCAGGCCCAATTCAAGTGCTCGCATTAGTGTTTAAAGCCCTAAATGACATAGTCCTCGAGTACATGAAAGACTGCTTCCATCCCTACAGACCCTTTCGGGTGCTAAAATTGGCAGTTCCTCCATCCTCAGAGAGTCAGGGAGAGGATGACCCAAGAGAGGACTGTGGCAGCACCTAAGCTGTGGAACTCTTCCCACAGAGTTGCACCTTCGTTATACAGCTTCTGAAGAAACCCTTATTTGCCCTGGCTTTTGAAACTTGAGGTGCATGTTTTTAAAAGGTAAAGGTAAAGGTACCCCTGCCCATCAGGGCCAGTCGTGACCGACTCTAATGTTGCGCGCTCATCTCGCTCAAGAGGCCGGGAGCCGGCGCTGTCCGAAGACACTTCCGGGTCACGTGGCCAGCGTGACTAAGCTGCATCTGGCAAGCCAGCACCAGCGCCACACACGGAAACGCCGTTTACCTTCCCACTGGAAAGCAGTCCCTATTTATCTACTTGCACTTTGGGGTGCTTTCGAACTGCTAGGTAGGCAGGAGCTGGGACCGAACGACAGGAGCTCACCCCACCGCGGGGATTCGAACCGCCGACCTTTCGATCAGCAGGTCCTAGGCTCTGTGGTTTAACCCACAGCGCCACCCGCATCCCTATTGTGCATGTTTTTAGGATCTGTCTTATTTTTGTGATTGTAAACGGTTTTGAACTGTGTTTAATCTATTGTGCTTAATATTGTGTTGTAACCCACCCTGGGCCCTTAGGTTCAAGGATAACTAAAAATGATAATGATAATAATAAATTTATTTCTGGATTTGTGATTTTCCTTCCAGGCATCTGGACAAATGAGTATAGGATAGTAGATTAGTTTAGAAATGGAAGAATATAAATATATATTGATTTCACATTCCTGAAATGAAATCCTATGTTCCTATTGACCTCAATGAAGTGTACAGTTTTAGGATTAAAAGATTTATTAGTGGGAAAGCAAAAATAGCAGTTAAAAAAGAGAATGTAATGCCTACAGGATTTTAAATCTGGCAATTCTTGTCAGTTCCAAGTACTAACACATGTTTAACCTTGTGTAAATTAACATGTGCTCTAGCACAAATTTATTCGTCCAGGTAGCAAAGCAATAAGGAATTTCTTTTTCTCATCTACTGAGATTGTTCATCCATTGAAATGAAATTTCCATTTACAGATCCCCAGAATGAGGTTTAAATGGAGTGGCTAGCATTTCCAAACAGCAGTTTTCTCCTGTTACATCTACTACAGAAAACATTAACAGTTGTAGCTATTAAATAAGAGCTAGTAACACTCTACTTCTGTTTCTTAATGCAGAGGTGTTCCCTAGTATAGAAGTTACAGTGCATTTGGGCACATGACAGGCTACTTGTTTTAAGATTTGCTATATTATGTTAGATATTTAAAAATAAATAAATAAGCAACCTATACATTTTGTTCAATAAATAAAATGTACGTGCTCACCATACCTACTTGAGTTATCAACAGACTCTTCCTCATGAATTCTGCTGTGCTCTATCACTCCCATCCATGTCTTGTCAGGTTAATGTGGATTGTCACCCCTTCTAGGAATAATCTTGTTATTTTGTTCATCTAGATCTTCTTTACAGACACAGGAGCCACATTTAACCCAAACATGCATTTGTGAATCAATTCTATATTTCTTTTACCTCTTTTTTATATATGCCACTAGTGCTGCTATTTCAACCCACCTTGAATTATGTCCTGACCAAGGTGTGAATCCCAAACCACCAGTTGAAGTCCATTGGTGTGATACCTAAATTATTATTAGCAGCTGTTGGTTGTTCAGCAGGACCAACCTGATGGACCATACCTAAAGTGCCTTTCATATTTTTAATGAAAGAGTTTAACATTGTTCCTACATTGTGAAGAAAAATGTGTTTGTGTATCATTTTCTACCTCTTTTAGTCATTTTTTTTTTTTAAAAAAATGCTCTACTCTCTATTTTACTTTTTCTCATGAGCACGTAGAACTTACTTATGCCATTTGCCTGATTTCTTTTGTGACTGGTCACTTACTTTCATCTGTTAGTGTCCACAACAGAGAAACATAACACTGAAATATAGGAAACAAAATATTCTTAAGTATAAAATGTTCCAGGAGCTGAGTCAATCTACCAATCTGATTTGAACAATATACCACAAGTAGAAATTCCATTTGGCTATATATTGTTCATAAATAATGAAAATCCACTTGTTTTAGGAAAAACAGGCTCAAAATTGATTATCTTCCCAACCGTTGATGTAGAGTGTATATGACAGGAGATTTCTAGTAGAACCTAGAGCTGCATGACTTCTTTTTTACCCAGCCCAGGATTGGGATAAGTGGTTAGTATTTTAGAGGTAAAGCAAGTACTCCGGCAAAGCAAGTCAAACCAAACTCCCATCTATATGTAGCCTAACTTTCTGATAACACTCTGTTCCACAGGTTGATACTACTGACTTTGTCAGGGTGAATTTAAAAATCCCTATAACTCAGAAATCACTATTTGATTTTTTCTTATGAAAGAGAAGTGGTTTTCTGAAGCCATATAATGTTGGAAGCTATTGGCTAGGCTTGTAGGTATTGCCTTCATACATGAGAATAGTGCAAAGATGAACATGTAAAGTGGATGGGATTATGGCACGCTCTGAACATGCATGCATACACATGCATACTCTTGTCTGCCTTAGTAAATTCCAGCAGATGACATGGTGTCATTAATATGAAATTGCATAGATTAACATGTCCTTTAATATATAATTGCAGAATTGTGGAGTTGGAAGGGATCCATGGGTTCATCTAGTCCAACCCCCTGCAATGCAGGAATTGCAGCTAAAGAATGAAGAGATCGCAGTGAGGCAACTACTCTGCTGTGTATTAAACCCTGACCCAGAATCAGGTTGTCTATAAATGATATAGCAACGAGTTCCCCATGAACATACGGTATGCTACAGGCAAGAGGCAGGCCCCTTCCGGCCACTTTCACTCCTGAGACAGATGGCTCTCAGTACCAAGCTGGGCAGCCAGTTATCTGGGGCCAAATGAGGCTTCTCAGTGCTGTGGTATCTTTACATTTATGGGGACTTCTTACTTAGAGGCATTCAGTCATAATCCCACAGATGGTATCTTTGCCCCATTGGCTCCTCAGCCAAGCACATACACCAAATGTCTGAACCTTTGGTTCTTCTCATACTGAGCAGGATTATGATCAAACAACATGTCTTCAGTAGGATAAAACTAATCTGTCTCACTACAGTCTAAACCCAGATCACATTCCCTATTAGTGGGAATTCTGCTTGACAATGATAAAACGAGCCAGCATCAAAGGATCAAAAAGTGAGAACGCTATGAATGCTTGGCCACCATCAGCCAGTTATCCCTGTGGTAACTTTTCTGACACCTCTTGCTTAAAACCCAGAAAGTCAGAAGGACCGCGAGACCCCACTTTCGTGGTTTGTATTCATACTGAAAATCAATATCAAGTGAGCTTTTGCCCTTCTGCTCCACGGGAGATTTCTGTCCTCCCTGAGCTTGCCTTAGGACACCTGCAATACGGTTTGACAAACTCCGCACCTGATGCTGTCCCCAGAGTGGGTCACACCTGGCAAACACTGGTCACTTGTAGCCAAAAGTGAGACCTGTTAGGGATCCCCCCTCACTGGGTAAGTGGAAAAAAACTGTTCTAGATAACTCATCAGAAGTGTTGGATAAATAAGATCGTGTCAGTAGTTAGCAAATGGATAACTACTTGAGTTTTGAAGCATAAGAGTCCTCTGCAAAACAGCTTGAAGTTGTAAAGTGTATGATGGATTGTATTTCTAGTGACCCTGGCCATTATTGGAAAGCAATATTTCTAGATTTCTCCCATTCTAAACAAAAAAGCAACAATAACCAACAAAGAACTTTTTAAAATAAGCATCTGAATACAGAATTAAAACTTGTTTGAACTATCTCAAAACACAATGTGTTTTCCCCTCTGGACATAAACTGGTAAGAGTTACTGTATGTATATCATGAACCATATTGGTACAGCAATAAAATTGCTAGCACATTTGCAAAGTTAAGCAGGGTCCAATATGGTATCAAAATGGATGGGGGACAATGTGTTGAGATTCCTGCATTATAGGGGGTTGGTCTGGATGACCCTCAGGGTTTTTTCCAACTCTACAATTCTATGTTTCTATGTAAAAGAGATTGACAGTTGACAGCTGCTAACAGAATCTGAATTCCAGTATCTCAGGCATCCTTAGGGAGAGGTCTCTAGATAAAATAATTGCCTTTTGCTGCATGGAGCACACGTTCAAGCAAAACATTATTGCAGAAGGTATAAATATTGTAGGGCTTGGACACTTCAGAAAAAATGTGGAAGTAACGCATGAACAGTTTAAATGCCTGAATGTTGGTGACCCTTCATTAGTAAACATGTACAATATCAACTTGTTTATCTCTAACATGGTATGATTATGGGAAACAATCAAGTATCATTCATCTGGAGATACCTGCTCTGAAGAACCTTACTGTGATTCTGTTTGTTAATTCTGATCATTGGTTGTGGCAAACTGTAGCCTAAACTATTTGAGATCATCAACAGAAATTGGTGGAAGGATTGGTTCTTCATCTGAATGTGGTTGAGGGCAGGGATCTACTTCATGGCCGAGTGCTTATTTTTAAAAAAATGGTTTCAGCCATTTTTAAAATGCTCAGCATAGTTTTTATTTTTTAGAAAAATTATATGCCTATCATCGGGAATTCTCAGCGACAGTGAGCCATTCCACCTATAACTCTTGAATTCACTGAGCTAAAACACTAAAAATCAAGCCTTGCATCTTAGCCAAGACCAAACCAGATATGCTGAATGTGAAAAATCTGTGTATACAAAATCTATGAAAGCACATATTTAATTATCGTTTTGGTGATTTGAAACATTTTAAAGAGTTAATTTTTCAAGTTTGGCTGCTTCATAAATTCATCTGCATCAGTTTGTTTAACTCTCTGTTCTTTGAATGTAACTTTCGTCATATTTCTTGGATTGAGATTTATTTCATTATTAAAGCAGGTAAAATACTGACAGAAAGAAGAGTCCTACATCCATAAGCCATTATCCATTATCCATCAGTAGAACTGCAGCCAAAAACAATATATACTAAATATGAGAGAATTTTAAGAGCAAACTTCTAGAAAATGGAAAAGGGCAGTTGTATTCTATATAAATGAGATACTTTTCATGATGTTCTGTCCTAATAACAGTATCATATTTGAGGATAAAGCCTACAGCAATCATTCTAGTAGGCTTCAAAACATCTAGGATATTTCACTTTTGCATTCCCTGTGCTTGATTAATACTTATGAAGAGGTAATTTGCCTACGTTTTGTAATTTACAAAGAATAAAGGTTCTTCACTGCTGTTCTATATTCTAGTCAGTTTCTCAGGAAGTACATTGTCTGGTAAAAGCATAAATACTTAGTTGCATAGTTTGATTAAGTAAAATTGGTACAAGGATTCCAATGCAAAAACCACAAAAAGGGGGGGGGGATAAAACATATCTGAAATAGTAAAATAATTTATCTGCACTGTAGCTACTCAGTAGGAGGATCAGTCTGCAGTAAATAAATCCTGAGGCACACCTCCTGCATGAGGCCACGGATGTATATGGTTTATCAAAGATCTGCACATCCTGAACTGAATTCACAATGGTAAAAAGGAGACGGAGAGAAGATATGATAGCCATCTTCAAATATCCAAAGGGCTGTCACATGGAGGATGGAGCAAGCTTGTTTTCTTCTGCTCCAGAGGCTAGGGCCCAAACCAGTAGCTTCAAGTTACAAGAAAGGAGACTCCAGTTAAGCATCAGGAAGAACTTTCTGATGGCAAGAGCTGTTCAGCTGTGGAACAGACTCCCAACAGAGGTGGTGGACTCTCCTTTGGAAGTTTTAAGCAGAAGCTGGATGGCCATAATGTATAATCTAGTTGAGATTCCTGCATTGTAGGGGGCTGGACCATCAGGACCACTTCCAACTCTAGAATTCTATGATTCTATGGTCTTTGTGACAAAAGTGGGTCTAGCAAGATCCAGTGCACAATGTAAGCAAGAGGTTTTTTTTCCCAACACCACATCATCCTTCTCCTTGTATTTCAGTTACCGACAATTAGGATACCTGCCCCAAAGCTAATCTTTTGAATTAGACATCTCCCTGTTGAGACATATTTCTGGTTAACTGAACTAGACTGTCAACTGAACTAAAGTATGTAATGGCTCAGGTGGCTAAGATAGAAGCAAGTTGCCCTCACATTGTTGTATAATATTTCTGCCAGCAAAAATGAGACTAAAGGAAAGCATGTACAGTTTTTAGCATTTATATTTTCTGTACCGCCTTTAGTTTTTGGATGTGATTGATGTGAACGGGGAGAAGAGGAAGAATAGGAGCCACTTCGCCATCTTATAACCATTTCATTTACAACCCACGTGATGTTGGTCAAATGATCAACATGAACGCCCAAACTTGGATGGGCTCTGATATAAGTGCTTAGAATACCAGCAGAACATATACCTATAATGATATCTTGCAGCGTGCTACAAATCATGTAGCTGATATGTACTAGTAAAGATCTTCAAACAGCATATCTGGGCATAAATGCATGAATTAAAAAGTTTTAATTTTATTTACTGTTGCTGAAACTGTCATTTTCCTTTTTGCCAAAAGATAGTGGTAGTTCAACAAATAGCATAAAATCTTCTATATATAAAAACATTATTGAACTTTGCATATTAAAACATGCAATTTTTGTACTGCATTTAATCAACATTTTCAGACTTCATAAAAATTAGTCACTTCTCCCAAAGGAGAATGTCTAAACTAACATTCACTACTCATTCATTATTCTGTATAATGTTATTTCTTAACTATATGTGTTAAGACCACTTTATTTTGTCTGAGCTATCATTTACACTTACTTTGTTATTCCTAAGGGCTATCAACTGTTCATTAAATCTTGATTTTCTGTCATGAGGAATTAATAATCTGGCCTTCCAAGTGAATTTAAAAGCAAGGAGGGATTGAGCTCAAATATTTGAATAGCATCTCCGAGTTAAACAGCACATGGGATTTTCAGTTAAATTATAACCAAGACTGAAAAAACACATTCAGTGCATACATTTCTGTTCTTTTAAACATTTTGTTCTCTTCTGCCTTGAAGTTGAACACGTTTCTACATCATTCACAATATTTAAATGCAGATATCTGTTTTTCACCTAGTTCATTTGTATCTACCATATACAGTGGTACCTTGGGTTACATACGCTTCAGGTTACAGACTCCGCTAACCCAGAAATAGTGCTTCATGTTAAGAACTTTGCTTCAGGATGAGAACAGAAATTGTGCTCCGGCGGCAGCAGGAGGCCCCATTAGCTAAAGTGGTGCTTCAGGTTAAGAATAGTTTCAGGTTAAGTACGGACCTCAGGAACGAATGAAGTACTTAACCCAAGGTACCACTGTATTTTGGAAAGTTGTTTGTCTATTTGCTATGTTTGCTATCATAGAATACGACACCGGGACTGAGTTGCAAGTGTCACTTTCAGAATTTTGCAGCCACACCTATGTACAAAAGCAAAATTAAGTGGAAGCCATAGTAGAAGACACTCAACACAAAGCATAAACGATAGTAGAGGTCACTTACATATTACATTTTACTTAAGGTTTTTTGGGTATGTAAAAGTTTTTAAATAATAAATGAAATGAAGATTAATATCCCACATTTCTTGACCTCACTGCAATGCAGTATGCTGAGCTGAACTGCACCTGTCACAATTGTAGCTAAGTCCAAGTGAAACTACAGTGTACGGAACTTAATTACAACAAATAGTATTAATGATTATCAGGAGACTGACAGGGGTCACCTTTCAGTTATTCAATAGCATCAAGTAAAAAGCTTAAAGTTAATTGCTTTGTGTATTTGATTTCTTGGCCTACATGGACTTTTAGAAAGTTTCATAATTTAATCACAGAGTTATAGAATTGTAGTTTGAAGGGACTGTGAGGATCATCTAGTTCAATTCCTTTCAATGCATAAATATTTTGCCCAATGTGGGGCTCGAACCCACAACCCTGAGATTAAGAGTCCAAACTCTCCAATATTTCGCCAATGAAAACAGGGACATCCTCATCTGACAGGGTTGCCCTGGTCACATTGGCGGCTTCCAACATATATAAAAACATCATAAAAAGCTAAACATTAAAAAACTTCCATATACAGGGCTGTCTTCAGATGTCTTCTAAAGGTTGTATATTTACTTATCTCCTTGGCTTGGGGCTTGCATAACTCCATACCCTCCAAAGAAAATAGGAACACCCTACCGTATCCTCCAACATTTCTCTGATGAAAATAGATATGTCCAAAGGAAAAGCAGGACATTCTTAGAACAAATCAGAAACCGGGATGGCTTCAGTAAACCTGGGACTGTCGCTGGATGGTCTGAGCGTCTCATGGTCTGCCTACTGAGCTAATATTCCTCCATATATGTAAACTTGATACTTCTCCCTTCTATGAATACCCCCCCCCCAACAATTCTTTCCTTTGAAATATAGGCTGATTAGTCTGGGGTGATTTATGCATGAATAAAACCCTGTAAAGTTTTGACTTCAGTTATTCTGACTGAGAAGAAAAGCCTTCTCAGTAAAATGCGGTGATGCCTTTAATGCCCTAGCAGAGAGTGGAAGCTATTCTGTTTATGGAATCCTTATCTCCACCTCCACAAGTACTCTTTTGAGACCCTTCCTGCTTCCCATCTGTCCCACCTTGCCCCATCCAACTTCAAGAAGCTAAAAAACCCACCATGTTAATACAGAAAATCAAAGCACTCTCATATGCACACACCTTACAAAACATTATGCAGGGATGTGAGGGTGATCTGGCTGCAACATCTGTCACCCCCATTGATCTCCAGGGTTGATTCGGCTGATCTGGCTGGCTAGGCGGGTGTCCCCTTCCTCCTCACTGCTCCATGTGCGTCCCTCCCGAAGCTGCGCGCTCGGTGGAAGAGGACTACCATCCCAGATAGAAGGAGTGTTCCATTCTTCGGTCAAGGGTATACGATAGCTGTACTCCCCTGCTAGAACCTCCAAACAAGCACAAAACATTATGCAGGGGTATAGTTACCAGAAACAGGGGCTCTTACTGCATTATTAGTCTTGTTCATTCAGAGTCTAGTTCAGCACTAGTTCAGAATGCTTAAGGAGATAAAATAATGGGACTACAACATAATAGTGCTGCTCCTGGTCTCCAGGTAGCTGCAGAATTCTTGCCCTCAATCTTATCCAAAGACTAGTACATAGAAGGCATAAAAGACTAAAGGTACAATACTGTAGAAATGTTAAAACAAGTTCTAAAGTGGGGAGGGAAATAGAGTTTGTGCCTGGAAGTCATTAAAGACCACTTATAGAGAAAGCCAATGCATGAGTCTTTCGTAAAGAAAGAGCAAGCTTTTCAAACTGCAATCGAATTGAATTGTATCTCCTAACACCAAACATGAATATTTACATTTTAAGACTGCCTCTAAACTTATAACGCATTTAAGGTTTTCATTTGCTTCACGTGACATTTACTTCATCTTCTAGGACAGAAAAGATTCACCTTTCTAGTCCACAGGATGCTAGGTGAATAATGCACAAGGTCTTTTTGAGCCAGTGTGGTGTAGTGGTTAAGAGCGGTAGTCTCGTAATCTGGGGAACCGGGTTCGCGTCTCCGCTCCTCCACATGCAGCTGCTGGGTGACCTTGGGCCAGTCACACTTCTTTGAAGTCTCTCAGCCCCACTCACCTCACAGTGTGTTTGTTGTGGGGGAGGAAGAGAAAGAAGATTGTTAGCCGCTTTGAGACTCCTGAAGGGGAGTGAAAGGCGGGATATCAAATCCAAACTCTTGTTGTTGTTGTTGTTGTTTAGTCGTTTAGTCGTGTCCGACTCTTCATGACCCATGGACCAGAGCACACCAGGCACTCCTGTCTTCCACTGCTTCCCGCAGTTTGGTCAAACTCATGCTGGTAGCTTTGAGGACACTGTCTAGTACAAGGTCTAGTCAGCTCCATTCATCAGTAGATCTTCCAGCAAAAATGCTGAGGGAGTCAGTAAAATGCAGATTTGAAGAGTTCCAAATTAATATTTTCCTCAAGTCTATTGATGGAATTGATAAATGAGGGTGCTACTCATGTGGCCATGTTTTAAGATCATTTCTATTTGATATCTAAGCCCACACCTTTAAACTTCATTAATAATGATGAATGACGCTGCTGCTTAATATAGAGGGTTTTAAGCTCTTGGCAGAAAATAGTTTTGTGCGCTCCCATAATTTATTTTTCTTCCATTTCCAACAATGTGCCATGGCTTGCTTCCAACTGATTATTAATATTCTAAAGGTGTTAAATTTACCTAAAACCATAGGATTTCGTGTCCATGGCTACTTAAGTATGAACTGTGCCATCACAGAAGGAAAGCCACAGAAGCTTTCTGATATTGGAGTTACAATGGCAGCACTGCAAAATAACATTTTCTACCCTTTTGAGCCAAGTTCCATAAAGCATGCTTGAGAAAAATAATGCCAGCTGAGAACAAATGCTGTGTTTCTAGATTACTAGCCATTTTTGAAAGGTACATGTCTCCCAAGAGCAGTAAACTTCCATGATATGTGAATAGCTAGCAAAGCTCTGAAGGCAGTGGGTTGTTTTTAGGCATTTACAAGTGTGCTAAAGCTTTAACAATTGCGTTCTGTTAAAAAGAAGTGATTGACACAAGCAAAGACAAATTATGCTATGGAAAGATCAGTTTAAATCTAACATAGGCTGATTCTTTTCTGGCTAAATGTTCCTATCTGATATCCATATACTTAACGCAGTAAGAGCAACAGTAGCAGCCTGAACATCTGAGAGGCTAGGGAAAGGTTTTACAATCATTGCCTTATCCAGCAATTCACATTTGCTGCTCTCAGCATCCTCTGTAGGAAAGATGAGTGAGCCAGCGGCGAGCCATCTAGCCTGGTGAATAGAACCCACTGCCCATGAACTGAATATAAGCTAGACTGCTGTGTCTCATTGCAGTGCAGCAAGACTAGCACTCGCTAGCTCTTTTTTTCTAATTATTTTTATTTTTGCTGTGTACTTCGGTATTATGTCCAGAGTATCTATTTGTAATACTGAACTTATTATATGTTTGTTGAAATTATTATTCCAAGGTGGTATCCAGTTTGCTTTCCTCCCACCCCAATTTCATAACATAGCAACATTAAATTCTGTGTTTTATTACACTGGTTCAGTCAAGGTGCCAATCTCATCATACAAGTTTTTTCATCTTAATTTCTGATACCCATATTTGTTATCAACACAACTTGTATTCCTATGGTTGCCCTGGTTGTCTTAAAAAATGTCAATCCCATATGTGGTTTTGCTCATGTATGTGTTATAAAACAACTAATATATACAGTTTAACCTCGGGTTAAGTACTTTATTCGTTCTGGAGGTCCGTTCTTAACCTGAAACTGTTCTTAACCTGCAGCACCACTTTAGCCAATGGGGCCTCCCGCTGCCGCTGCACGATTTCTGTTCTCATCCTGAAGCAAAGTTCTTAACCCGAGGTACTATTTCTGGGTTAGCGGAGTCTGTAACCTGAAGCATATATAACCTGAAGTGTATGTAACCTGAGGTACCACTGTACTGTTGTTATTGCTGTATCCATCCCCCCTCCCAAGGTGCTCAGGGCATAACCAATCATATACAGAACAGATATAATTGTAGCATGCAGTTCTAATATACATTATTTAGAAGGTTTAATATCTTGGTCTCTGAAATAATTTGCATATATCATAGCTGACCACCCATTAGTCACACTGAAAACTTTGTGTCATGCAGCACAACAGATCTGCACTCTTCCTTGTGGCCTGGCCTCTCACCTGCGAATATTTAGTATTGGGGGCACTGCTGTTACTCTGCCATGGTAGCAAAGTGGTCAAGAAAGTTCCTACAGGACTCTCCAGTAGCATCTGGTGTAGAATGAGTTTTAATGAGCAGAAGAGGATATATTAATTTCAATTTATCCCTCACATCCTTGGCAGCAAAGTTAAAAGCATAGGAATTAGGTTGTAAAACATGGTTTTGAGCAAGTCCAGCTATGAAGCTATGAGATAAGCGAGCTTCTGCCTTCTTACCCTGCATCATTATCATCATAATTTTATTATTTATACCCTGCCCATCTGATGACTGGGTTTCCTCAGCCACTCTGGGCATCTTACAGCATATATAAAACATAGTAAAATATCAAATATTAAAAACTTCCCAATACAGGGCTACCTTCGGATGTCTTCTAAAAGTTATGTAGTTCTTTATCTCCTTGACATCTGAAGGGAGGAATATCTATGCAGGCAAAATACTTATATTTACAGTATAATCAGCTTCAGTCATGTGCCTGGAGCTGGAGCAAGCAGAGACATGTCTGCATCCAACACTGCTCAAATGAAGAAAGGAACAGGAAATACCAAAATACTCCTTCCTCTCCAGGAGAGGAGGAGAAATGACATCACATAGAGCCCTCTCTACCAATTGTATTTCTATGGTTTTAGTATCTGCATATCAGCAGTACAGCTCTGTGGACTCAGCCCCTTCTTGTCTGACCTAGTAATAATATTTATTTGTTAGGTTTGGCTGCTAATTTCTCACATCTAGTCATCCACGCCCTGCTTTGAAGAAGGATCCTTTTTAAAACATAGCATACTGGGAGAGGTGGACCTGGTTTGTTGTGGCAAATAGGGTTTAAAGTTTAACACTAGTAACAGTTTGCTGCCATTAAACTTCAAAGTATTGTTTATAACTCTGTCACAGCAGAAGTGGAGCACGTACTCTCTGAGGGCGTCAGTAGGGTTGTTGTATTTCAAAAAGTAAAAACCAGGACACCTCGAAAGTTGCTGAGCTTTTTATGGAAAAAACCCCAAGTTGTTGAGGATTTCCCCACCACAAAAACATCAAAAAAAGGGATTTTTCAATTAACTTGTCTAAGATGCAGAACAAGGCCATCCCCCTGGATGTCAATTCTGCCTTTGAAATTCTGGAAATGTCCAGGACGTATGGCAGCCTTGGGCTTCTGACTCACAATGCCTCACTCTGGAAAGACCCTGTGTTTCCTAGGTTTCTTAGTCAGAGTGAAGCATTGTCAGGTGTGAAACTTTGGTCAACCTCTGCATGCCTATGCTGCAAGGGAGAGTTTGGGGAAAGGACCAGGAAGGAGGAAGTGATCAGTGTGCAAGCAGGGATTGACTCTGCCTCATGAAACATAATGTCTTGTGCAGATCCTTAGCTTTCAAGACTCATACAACTTCCTAGAGATTTTGGGCATGATACCTGACTGCATTTGGTGAATGATAATATTTAGGACCCCCTCCCAACTTTCTTAATGCATTCATTGGTATTTCAGTATAAAATGTTACAGTATTATTATTTTTATGTCTAACATTTCTAACATTCAGTAGGTCTACATGGTCCAGTGCAAAGCTGTATGTTCAAATGCATGGCAATGTATTCACCTAGTCTCTGTATTTTTTCATAATGACAAATCAGCCTGATAGATACCATTTCAATTATTCTGATGAATTCCAGAATTCATCGACTGCTTTAAGTGCAGTCGATCTCAAGCCATAAAGAGTACTACTGAGAGCTCTTTTTACTCTGGGTTTACATAATTATCCTGGTATAAAGTTCATCTTAATTGCTTTGTTTAGAAAAGAAATAGAGAAAATTGTGCTCAATCTCCCATTCTGGAGTAAGCATTTATCAGGCCAAAAACAGACAAGGCATTGAAAGCTCATCTGTTGTATGAGCTTTGTGTTAAATAAGATGTTATCACTTCCAAAGAACCACTCCTCCCCAGCTGATATTTGCCATTACTTTGTGACTAATAATAATGTTGGGTTTAGAGGGGCTCAAAGCATTACAGAGCAGAGAGAGCTATTTTTGTCATGGAACTTATGCCTACCCGTTGTGTTTCTCAAACAGGCAACTTCCATTTGTGCTGGAAATTCCAAGAATTCCTTTTAGTACAACTTATCTTTTGAAGTACAAAAGGTTAATTGGGTACGAACCAGCCTTTATACCAATTAACGCTTTCATCAGCATGGGTGATTCACTAAATATAGAGTATTCTCCCAATGGTCTCTGAGGGCAGTTTTCTCAGTCAACTTGCA